TAGGAAAAATTTCTTGACTGAAAGAGTGGCCGGGCCTTGGAACAGGCTGCCCAGCAAAGTGGTGGAGTCACCATCCCTGGAAGTATTTAAAAGACGTGTAGATGAGGCACTTAGGGACATGGTTTAGTGGGCATGGTGGTGTTGGGTTGATGGTTGGACTCAATGATCTTAGAGGTCTTTTCCAACCTTAATGATTCTATGATTCTATGATAAAATAGATTTACTCAATAGCTCAGGTAAGAACCTGGATATCGATATTCATGAACAATTAGCAACCGTCTCGATGAGGCCTCCTTTGAGCAATAGGGCAAATACCTTGACACAAGCAGCTGATGTCAAACAGTAGGATCTTGTTATTGTGAGGAACTCTGTCTTTCAGCTCTTCTGTTTCCTAGGAGATGTCCTAGGAATGGAGGGCCTCATTTGCCGAGTGGGTAGTCGGAGCAGGGAGGCAGATGATATAATGTAGTTGGATCCTAATTCAGGGGGTTAGGAGAGCTGAGGTGGGAGTCAAGCAAACGGAGCAGGCTTCTTCCTGCTTATATAGTGTGGCACAGCCAGGAGCTGCTGTTGTCGCCACCAATGTCAGCTGCTGGACCTAAGTAAACTGAGTACATGGATCCTTTCCGTAAATATTTAGTAACAATAAAGCCCTGCTCATTCAAGTCTAAAGGAATGCTGCTCATTACAAATCTTGGCCCAGTTCTCGCCAGTGGCAGAGAGCATGCTTAAGCCAGAGCCAATACTCTTGCCCAATCCTGGTATAATTGGGATATATGCAGCAGCTGCCAAAATGCTTGTGAGCATCCTAAATGCAGCTTGTTGGCTGATGTGCTCTGCAGCCTCGTCTTGTCCCATGTTCTTTTGGCCCACCAGGATCCTTGCTGAAGGGGCTACATCCTGTGATAAAATAGGAACCTCAGAGTACGTGTAGATCATGCTAGGTTACATACTGGTGACGGGGCAAGGCTACTGTTCGAGCCTGCCCTTTAGGCATGGGTCTTCTGTCAAGGCGTTTTGAGCAGGGGGTCCTATAAAAGACACTGTGTGCATTGGGATCTTCCCACATATGCAACACATGGCATCTGCCTCCCATCCTGGAGTCCCAGGTCAAAATAAGATGAAGAGATTATTCATAAATGTTTGCAAACTGTCATTTCTAGAAAAATGGCTGTAGAAAATAAATGCGCAACAACAGAAATAGCTACAATACTAGTGCAATGAACATGCCAGTTCTGACCTTTTAAAGATGCCTTAAGGATCCCAAGGCAGCTATGTAATTTCTACACACAAATATACGCTATTTGTCTTGAAAAATGAAATCATCAACTGATTTCTATGTTGGGGATTTTTTTAAACACAGTGTTGCATCTGCTTTAATTTTGACAAAGTAGGTACTTCTATTCTGCTGCAAGACACGCAGTGCCCAGAAAAGGAAATTAACTTAAATTGTAGTTCAGCATAGGTAATAGGGTCCATAAATTCAAACGCATGGGGCTTGGGCCTTCACATGCACAGCCTCACCCTATGAGCAGAAAACTTTTGCTATGAAGTCCAGGAGCTCTCAGTGAAGCAAGTAATACAATGTGGCATCAGAGCTGCTTATTTCCCTTTGCTGTTGCCTGTAATCCATTAATCCAGCAATAAATGAAAACAAACACTCTCACTGGCTTTTCACTAATGATTTTATCTGGTTTTGTGTGGTTTTACTCTTTGCTTCTCACTTAAATTTCATGAAAAAAATTAGTTTCCTTTAATACGGTAAAAGGCAGTCAAAGTTACAGAAAAAATCATGATCCATAATATCATACAACTAACAGGAGTACTGAGACATTTCATTTCCTAAGTAATCCACAGTCACGTAAAAAGATGAAGTATCTGCTCCTTAACATCCGAAGTTGAAGAAGGTATTTTACAAAGAGCATTAAGGTTTGCTCTGTGTTTTCTATGAAAACAGGGCAAACATTATCTACTTGAAGGACCTTGTGATAACACATGTTGTATATTAACCTCAGCAATTTGCTTGCTGTGAGTGCTTAGTGTTAGAACAAATGCACTTCTTTGTGATACTGTTATTAAAGGTCTCCCAGGCCGTTTGCATGATCCACTTCAAATATTATATAATTTTAGTTTATCCAGACCCGTAACCTGGTAACTTAAATTTTAATTTTTAAAGAGGGAGGGAGGAGGTGGTGTCCTGCAGGCTATATCCTGCTATTACTTGATTTACTGTGACTGTAGCATGTAAGAGCTGATTGTGCACTTAATAAGGGAGAGAAATTATTTGCTCCTAAATAATAGATCAAGGAGCATTATGTTGCCTAACTGTGAATGCCTTATTCTGTGGCACACAAACAACAAAGCTGCATCAGCTGATTTGCCATACCTGGACACGGCTGTGTGTTGCAGAGCGCTTCTTCCGTGTGCAGCCCAAGGCAGATATCTCCTCCATATGCTGGTGCTGGGTTTGTGCAGGAGCGGGTTCTCATGTAATGCCCTCCTCCACAAGTTGCCGAGCACTTCGACCAAGATGACCAACAAGACCAACCTCCATCCACTGAAAAGACAGAAAATACCATATTGTTCCAAGTTAATGTGTAACATGACATAATCCAACACATCTTTCTCATATTCTGTGGATCTAATTCATGGCCTACTGAAATTATTGGACATTTTCAGGTGCCACCGGACATAGGGACACAAATTTAATCTTACCACAATGCAATTTAATTTACATATTTTAAAAGCCCCTGCTGTACTGGAAAGTCTAACAAAGTTACTCATCCATCTAAGACACTTTTAGTGGGTATCATATTAGTTTTAAGGACAAAACTGTTTTCTTTTTCTTTTCCTTTTCTTTTCTCACTTGTGAGGAAACAAAATACCAAAGCTTGTTTAGCAGAAGTATTATAAGCTCAAAGTAAATTTTTATTCATAAAATAAAACTTAGCCCAATAATATCAACAGAGACTGAGGAATCCAGATTTTGTTTTGCAACCCAGGTGAGATTGCCTTAAGCCTACAATCCATTTCAATTGATCTAACAGTTGTAGGGTTTGATGCGCCGATATAATGTTACAATCTTAATGCAGCTCTAGCATAGATGCCAGCAGCAGAACAACGGCGGTACTGCAAAAAAGCAACAGACGAATGACAAAAAGGAGGTGCCACTTAAAGTTTCAAACACAGGTTCCTGAATAATATTTTTTTTTCCCCCCTATTACTATTTACTGATTCAAGTATGTCAAACTGTTCTCCAGTCTGAGTTTTCATAAAGTTCCCCTGAAACGTAAGCTGGATTTCACAGGAGCCCCATTTGTCAGATGGCTTTTGACACATGGCCACTAGACAGGCTTTTAATGAAAGTTCACCTCATTGCCTGCACCGGACTGTCTCCTTTGCAGCCTCTGTTCTTAAAGCTACTGCTCCAGGATGTACTTCTGGCATTTATGGCCATATTGCAGCCCATCTGCCAAAGGCTTCCTATCTGCAGCCACATGACAAAGTCAGATGTACTTCTCCCAGGGACAGCATTCCCTCTGTAAAGAATCTCTGTACTTTGTTCATTTCTCTTTCAATTTTTTTGGGGGAGAAAAAAGCAACAAAAAACTAAACTTTCAAAATTTTCATATCCTACAAAAAATGAATTTCTTTTCAAACCATCACTTGCTTTCTTGACACTTAAGTAAAGAAATGATTTACCATGTCTGCAACTGATTAATAGAAATAGAGCGTGTGTAATTCAACTGATGCTAACAGATAAGACCCTAAGTATAATAAAAGCAATGTGCCAGTAAAGTTTTGTTTTATGACAGGGCCCTAAACTGAGCAGGTTTCACCTTTTTTTTCTCCCATCACTCACAGCAGCAGTGGGCATTTTACCACACAAGACAGAAACTCATTATTCCTACTTTTAAAAATACTAGGTAAGTACACATTTTCTGTACGCAATTTTTACAGTGCACTCATTTAAGACATTCCTTGTAAGACTTTACTTCATGGTTTGTCGAAACAATTGATTGTCACTGAAGTCTCCAAAACATTCATCCAGCATTTTACAATGATTCCTTTTGATACTTTCTGTTCAATTAATGAAACAGCCTTTCAAGGAGTAAACCAGTTTCCACTGGTTTATTGAAATGCTATTCCATAATTATCTCTTACCAAAAAAAAGGAGGTTCCAAATCTGAAAAGAATTAACTTACAATGAAAATACCTGTGCAGTATTTGCATTTAAATTCTCTCTTAGACGGAGACTTAGAACATTAAAAAAATACTCATTTTGTTTTGGTAGCATTGTATATCACAAATGCACCCAATGAGTCAAGTAGAATGATTTCTATGCAAAGGCTGCAACAGTGAGAAAATGAGCTAGGAGAATGTGGTTATTTTGATATTAAAACCTATACATGCATTTTTGAATGTAATTTCAGATACAACATACCCTCGGGTTCTCATCTGCTAATCAAACAGGTAATTTGCTAGTGCATACCTAAGGCTATTAACTAATCCTGTAAGCGAAGTTGTTGAATATATAACATTTTAGTCTCTGTATTGTTTGCAACATTATCCTACAAATCAAGAAAGCACGGAGTTGGCACTTCCTGGCTAAAAACAATAGTTGTAAAAACTTTTGCAAGTAATCTATCTGGCCTCTGAATAGCCTCATTGGATAGACAGGATTTGTGGAATCTGGTACTACATTCCAAGTATGTAATTTAAATGAATGATTTCCATTATTAAGGAATTCAATGATTGCTACATTTTTTCCAGGATATATTTATCAGCCAACTCATCTAGCTATACAGAAGTATGAGAGAGTTTTATACCACCTATCATAAATAAATATTGCATCTTGGTAGAGTGCTTGACTTGTTCTCTTATTCATATAGTCACTGGAAAACAAATACGTCTTTTTGCCCGAGATAACTCTGTTAATGTAGTATTACGCAAGCTCATATCTAAGAAAGCCACAGGTTATTTGTCTTTAGTGCAGATGAAATGTACTGTGCAATTTTGTAACAACTTGAAGACATGGTATCTTTTGTTCAGAACTTGCCTCTTTTTTTTTTTTTTTTTAAATTACGTCAAATAAACGCAGAAGCTGTTACCTAAGCTATTCATTTCATGCGATATTAAGGCTTTACCTTTCCAGATACTCCCTTTTTTCTTTTTTTTTTTTTTTTTTAAATTTAAAATGATCCTTGACTAGCTCAAATGAATAATCAGAGGCATTTCTGCTGCAATGTAGACCTCCACGAAACAGAATGACAGCCTGAGATTGCCTAGACAGAAGATAAATTGTCTGCAAACATTACCTGTGGCTTGTTCACTGCAATGGAGACAGTGACCCCCAGCACTTTCTACTTACTTTTCAATGGACCAGAGTGAGAATTACAAATGTGCATGCATTTGAAACTGCCATCTGCCATCTATTTATAGGTGGCAGAGAACACAGAGACCAATGTGACATCTAGGCATGTCACCATGTTCCACAACTGTGATGATCATGGCTATACTACAAGCCTTCAGATGTAAAGGGAGAAGTGGGTCTGGGGAAGATGGGAAAGGACAGACATAATATAATAGTCAACATTAGATTTGATCACAGTTGAGCTGGACGGTGTAATTATAACTGTTTTTCTTAGTGAGTATTTACTGACACACTGCCATCCTAAATCTCTAGGCCCTTCAAGCACTATCATAACTACCTCTTTTATTTGTCCCCAGAACTTTTCCTTCTCAGCAACAAAGGATGATAAAGCATCATCATGGTTAAATAAGATCAAAGGAGTGGGTATTTACTGCTTGAGTTTTTACAAGACCTAAAAGAGAGCTCTGTGGTTTCTTTCATCTTTCTTTAAAGTTGCTTAGCAACACAGCACCATCTGGTTTTTTTTTTTTTTTAGTTTTTCCTCTTGTCATGGAGTCCTTAATGTTATTTCTGCTTCTCATAGGAGGAAAAATACACAGCTGCAAGGAAGGTCCAGTCACTACAGTTTCTTTACATAACAGTTTTGTAGAACTGTTGGACAAAAGAAAGTCGTTAAAGCAGTTGCACAATGAAAGATACAAAGAGTCTTTACGTTTTCTGACAATTACTGAGGTTGGTCCCTTTTGGAAGAAGGCACCCTTCAGCTAGCAGGGTGCTCTCAAACAATGCTCTTTCCTCTACAGTAAAAAAATTTTTGCCTATTGGCTGTTGTTGTGGTTAATAAATATTTCTTCACTATAATGAAAAAAAAAACCCATAGGGAAGAGGATATTCTAGGGAGAAGCAGTGTACAGAAACAAAATCTCCTGGGGACATGATAAAACATCCACACTACTGGAGAATGTCCAAGAGACAATTAAGTACACTGGATACCCTGCTATGCACTTGGGGTTTTACAAGGAAGTAGAAGGAAGCGTGGGCAGACACACTGACCTCACCTGCTTTCATGAGAACACAGATAGGATCGCAGGCTTTTTCATACACTGTCTGGTCTCATTTCAAATTTAAACAACCAAAAAAAAATTATTTGGTTTTTTTTGTGTATGTCTTTAGGTTTATAACTTTTCATGTTCATCTTTTTGAAAGTGTAGCAAAAGAAAATAAAAAATGCTGAGAGGTCAGTCTTTTCCATATGCATGGCTGAGTATAAATAGAGGGGCAGTAGTCCTTTCCACCCACCGAAATGCAGATGGTGTGCTTCCCAGTGGCTGAGTAAAAGTTAAATTCGAGGACACTGGGTTTTTGGCAGCCTACAGACCTAGGACAGTACTGCTCCCTTCCAGACACCTGGGGATCATCCCATTCCACATCACTTAGTCTACTACTTTTTCCTAATCCTGTGGGATATTGCTGCATATGTTTCAGTGTGGGAAAGAGCAATTTTTACACCGTAGTTTGCAAAGACAAAGTCTTGTTTCTGTGATGCTACAGTTACCTTTTATTCATAAAAGCAATGCTGGATGAAACAGTCAACGTACATAGTGCAGTGCAGAAACACAGAAGGCAAACAAATGCTTCTAAGGAAAGTACAACAACAAAATCTAAGGATCAACCCGGGTTTAAATCTGTAACTGAGACTCTTAAGTTAGAAAAGCAACAGTTGGTTCCAAAGGACAGTTCAGCCCCCTCCTCAATGGCTACAGAAGCAGCCTAGAGAGATCAATGCATGCGGAGAGAAATGCTTCAGCAGCCTCAGAGACAAGCTTTATTGGATCGGTGCAACTTTTTCCCCCTGATTTAGGAAGTTACTGCAGGATAAATTTTGTCTATTCCTTTAAATATATTCCTGTTTCCCTGTGGCCAAGTATGACTGCAAGGAAAAAAACAAATAGGAGGAAAAAAAAAAGCAATAATGAATTAAAAAACAACAAGCAATAACTGGCTTTAGGGGATGCATAAATAACTTAAACAGTCTTTCAGGGAGTTTTGTATATCTGAAACTCTTTATTGTTATTAGCACATTTAGTGATATATTAATTTATTCAGTTCTTCTCAGCCAAAATATCATAACTAAACCAAACTAAAACGACTATAATAAAAATTTGAAACTGGTAAAATCCCAA